GCAGAGGGGCTGGGCTACAATGACACTGCGCTAAAGGACTTATTAAATTATGCCCTTGATGAGCCCATTAGCCCCTGGAGCATGTTAGGATGCGAGCATGTATCCTTTGAGAGGTTTGTGGAGTTCGTGGCACGTTCTTCAGCTAAGGGGGCTGCAGCGCCTCCCATGATGGCCGACAATGCTGCAGCTCCCACGAAGGTGGCCGACGAAGCTGCCACACCCCCAGTGGTGGCCGAAGAGGTGGCAGCGCCCCCAGAGGCGGCTGATGAAGCTGCAGCGCTCCCGGTGGTGGCCGAAGAGGTTGCAGCTATTTGTTCCTTTGTTACTCACCTCCTCGTTTGGTTCCTATTTATTCTCCTTTGTCTGTCATCCTGTGCTGATCCGTCATTTCTCATTGTGTGTGTTTCGTGTCTGCATGTGTGCAGCTTTAGGCCTGCCTGTCTGTTTTCCCCCTCGGGGTGGTTTGAGTTTGTTTTTGTTTCATTTTTTACTAAAATAAAATATTATTTCTCCAGCGATTAAGTCCTCGCTTCATCTCCCCGCACGCACCGTGACAGCCTCATAATCAAGTAGAGCGTTTCAAATCATCATATTTATATTAATAACTTAATATATTTACTGGATTTTGGTAATTGCAGCATATGACAAAAACATGAATGTGTTCTGCTACTCCTATTTTAATTTCTTCAATGTGTTGGGAGTCCCTGCGTATGTGCAATGTGAACGTGTACAGGTGACTGGTGACGACGTAAAAAAAAAATATATATATATATATATATATATATATATTTCCCCAATCCCACTATGTGCCCTGATAACTCTAGACCAGAAGGTGGCAGAAGTGCACCAATAGGTGGCGGAAGGTTATGAAGCTGCAGCGCTCCCGGTGGTGGCCGAAGAGGTTGCAGCGCCCCCGAAGGCGACCGACGAAGCTGCAGTGCCGCCCTCTCGGAAACGGAGGAGGGGGAAAAGGCAAAATGGGTCTGCCTCGCCACCCCTAGAGGAGGCCGAAGAGGCTGCAGCGCCCCCCGAAGGTGACCGACGAAGCTGCAGCGCCCCCGGAGGCGGCTGATGAAGCTGCAGTACCCCCGTTGGTGGCCGAAGAGGTTGCAGCACCCCCAGAGGCGGCCGATGAAGCTGCAGCGCTCCCGGTGGTGCCTGAAGAGGTTGCAGCGCCCCCGGAGGTGGCAGACGAAGCTGCAGTGCCACCCTCTCGGAAACGGAGGAATTGCAGCATATGACAAAAAAATGTATGTGTTCTGCTACTGCTATTTTAATTTCTTCAATGTGTTGGGAGTCCCTGCGTATGCGCAATGTGAACGTGTACATGTGACTGGTGACGACGTAAAAAAAAAATATATATATATATATATATATATATATATTTCCCCAATCCCACTATGTGCCCTGATAACTCTAGACCAGAAGGTGGCAGAAGTGCACCAATAGGTGGCGGAAGGTTGGTTTAAACAAAACATCATCAGTAGAAGACAACGAACTGAACTTCAGTGTCAGATCGTGTTTGAAATGTGGCCGCAAGATTAGGTAAGTTTTTGGTGATCTACTTATAAACACCGGCGCCGCCCAAGTTCCTCGCCCTGCCCAAGCTCAAGCTTCACGCACTGTCGGCTCCGCCCAAGCTCAAGCTTCACGCCCTGTCGGCCCCACTTAAGTTCAGCTCTCTGTCAGCTGTACCCCAGCTCCTTGCCCTGCCGGCTCCCATCTTGAGGCAGGCTCTGCTCTTGCTGCCGGGCCCACCCTGGCCTCCTGCTCTGCCTGACCCGCCCTGGCCTCCTGCCCTGCCGGCCGCACCCAGGCCTCCTGCCCTGCCGGCCCCACCCTGGAACACTGGTTTACCTCTATCCCCAGGGCCTCTTCCACTACATGGGCCTGGACGTTAGCTAGCCAGTGGCTTACAAGCGAGATTACAAACATCGATCTTCCTCTTTACTGCTAGTTATAACATGAAATAAACGTGAGTAAGCATCATAAAGTATGTTGAGTGATACAGTACAACTTAATGAAATTTATCATGTCTTATGTAATCCGTTTTTCAGTATTTAATATTTGAACAAATGTCATGAAAACAAGTTTTTATCACAACCAGTGTTTAAATGTTTATATTTCAGAAAATTCTTTGGAGTAGAAACTTCAATTAAAAGTGTTTTTAAATGTGTGTCAATGCCCTGCACTAATTATAACCATTTTCTTGTTATATTCTATGTGCTCTTTTTTGGGGACTTAAACTCATGCAGTGGAAGCGGAAGTTCTACTTGTTTATTGAGTGAAAAGAGAGATCATCTGCTGAAAAACCTATTAAAATATGGAAGCTATGGAATATGAAAATTCTCCAATTCCATGTTTCCACATAGTATATGCTTATTCACATATGTGCGCTTAATGAAAAATCATACTTTGCAGTTTTGTGAAACCCTGCACAGAATAAGTAGATATTCATTATATTTTATGCTGAGTGCTTGTGCTCTGAGTGATATAAAAAAATTGTTTTTGAATAATTGTACAGACATCTGACATCAATGGGCGATGAACAGCAGTTCTCCACGGCCTTCAATTCTTCCTTGAAAAGGACCTTACTGATTTTACAAGACATGTTTTGTAAGTAATT